TACAATTAAAAAGACAGTAAATGTGGGCATTGAAGGTTTCATAACCTCAGATCCCCTTTCAAAATTCCATTTTATTTAGCTCGCCTGCTGTTTTCTCGTTTAGGGCACATGCATTCATTTACTTGGGGACCATGCGCCGCTTTTCATGGAATGGCCCTACTGTGTTACACTGAATGTTTCATGACAACCGCCGTATGAACACATCTGCGGATGTTTCTAAATTCAAAATTTCACCATTTTTATGTTTAGATGTTAACTTCTGCTTAAGCCGGTGCTAGGGGCTTGGACGGTGACTTGCACTTTCCAGTACCGTCTATGAACAGGGTCAATCAAACCGAGCCTGCAACATTTTCATTTTTGTGGTGTTGGGCTTTCTCTGGGGGTTCTGTTTTCGTATAATGCAGCATCGTTCAGCAAGCATAGTTCAATTTTAAAACAATAATTTCTATAAATATTTAATATACATAATTTGAGAAAAGAACGAGTTCGGCAGCTATAAATTTCCTTACGTTTATAAAAGTATTTCAAAAAGTGAAGCAAACAGGGATATGAAATATTATCCATAAACTGAAGGTTTCTCGTTATGTATATTTTTAAATACTTTTTTCTCTCCATTTTCAGGTTGAAAGGCCATCCGGAATATCCGTTCGACGAACTTTTATAATTTGTTCATGCCATTGGAAAAAATTTACCGTACATTTATATAATTTTAATGACGATTCGTCATATTAATTCATGCCCTGTTTTAAAAAAGGAGGTCTCATGTTGGCATGCAAGCAACTTTTGTGTATGTGTGTATTCGGAGTCCAATGATTAACCTCAGCATACATTATTCGATTTCAAAAAAGTTAGTTTGTGTGTGGTCCGTAACCCTTGCATTCAATATAAGTTGTCATATTTGACCATTTTAAGTTGAGTGTGAAAGGTATTGATTTTTTTTATCGGTTCTATCTGTTACGATGATGTCCATATGACCCTGTGATTATGGTCATGGCAAAAAGTGACATTCAAACATCATTAGAAAATTTAAAATTTCGTACAATCATTTTTTTATTATTGCTTAGCTATATTTACTCTGTAATTTAAGAAAAATAAATATACCTTTTTTATCTGCCGCATAGTTATGTTAAAATAAAGCGAATAGAATTTTAGAAATTTTCTTTCATCATAATTGAAGCTAAACATGTGACTGAAGAACTGCTCATCATTTTGATTTTGTTAAAGTGTCGGCTTACTTGATAAAAATAACCAAACATTAAGGAATTACTATAATTAATTGTTTGTAAAAATAATTCATATAAATGGTATGTTTGAAATAATGTTATTATCAATCTGCACAGGCTCTCAGTAAATGTAAAAAAAGAAAAACCATTATCCAAACGGGCTTCAAAATGAACTGTTTATAGTCCCTTGATTTTTATGACTTCAAAGATCATAAATTTTAATCTCTCCTTAGCATGTATAAGATACACAATGACATAAATTTGTCTGCAACTGATGTTGGGTGTACAATGACGAAAATCTATCTAAAGCTAATAGAGGATGTACACTGACGTAAATCCATCTACAGCTAATAGAGGATGAACAATGACGTAAATCTATCCACAGCCGATAGACGGTGTATAATGACTTTAATCTTTCTAGAGCTAATACAGGATGTACAATGGCATAAATCTATCTAGAGCTGATGGAGGATGTACAATGACGTAAATCTATCCAGAACTGATAGAGGATTTACAATGACGTAAATCTATTTAGAGCCGATTAACGGTGTACAATGACGTAAATCTATCTAGAGGTGATAGAGGGTGTACAAAGACGTAAATCTATCTAAAGCTAATAAAGGGTGTACAATGACATAAATCTATCTAGAGCTGATAGAGGGTGTACAATGACGTTAATCTATCTAGAGCTGATAGAGGATTTATAATGACGTAAATCTATCTAGAGCCGATTGACGGTGTACAATGACGTAAATCTCTCCACAGCTGATAGACGGTGTACAATGACGTTAATCTATCTAGCGCTGATAGATGATGTACAGTGACGTAAATCTATCAGGAGCCGATAGACGGTGTACAATGACGTAAATCTATCTAGAGCTGATAGAGGGTGTACAATGACGTAGATCTATCTAGAGCTGATAGAGGGTGTACAATGACGAAATCTATCTAGAGCTGATAGAGGATGTAGTGGTAATAACGTAAATCTATCTAGAGCCGATAGACGGTGTACAATGACGTAAATCTATCTAGAGCGGATAGAGGGTGTACAATGACGTAAATCTATCTAGAGCCGATAGACGGTGTACAATGACGTAAATCTATCTAGAGCTGATAAAGGGTGTACAATGACGTAAATCTATTTAGAGCTAATAAAGGGTGTACAATGACGTAAATCTATCTAGAGCTGAAAGAGGGTGTACAATGACGTATATCTATCTAGAGCTGATAGAGGGTGTACGATGACGTAAATCTATCTAGAGCTGATAGAGGGTGTACATTGACGTAGATCTATCTAGAGCGGATAGAGGGTGTACAATGACGTAGATCTATCTAGAGCTGATAGAGGGTGTACAATGACGTAAATCTATCTAGAGCTGATAGAGGGTGTACAATGACGTAAATCTATCTTAAGCTGATAGAGGGTGTACAATGACGCAAATCTATCTTAAGCTGATAGAGGGTGTACAATGACGTAAATCTATCTTAAGCTGATAGAGGGTGTACAATGACGTAAATCTATCTACAGCTAATAGAGGGTGTACAATGAAGGAAATCTATCTACAGCTAATAGAGGGTGTACAATGAAGTAAATCTATCTACAGCTAATAGAGGGTGTACAATGAAGTAAATCTATCCACAGCCGATAGACGGTGTACAATGAAGTAAATCTATCTAGAGCTAATAAAGGGTGTACAATGACGTAAATCTATCTAGAGCTAATAAAGGGTGTACAATGACGTAAATCTATCTAGAGCTGATAGAGGGTGTTCAATGACGTTATTCTATCTACAGCTTATAGAGGATGTACAATGACGTAAATCTTTCTACAAATAATAGGTGATGCACAATGACGAAAATCTATCTAGAGCTGATAGAGGATGTACAATGACGTAAATCTATCTACAGCTAATAAAGGGTGTACAATGACATAAATCTATCTAGAGCTAATAAAGGGTGTACAATGACGTAAATCTATCTAGAGCTGATAGAGGATGTACAATGACGTAAATCTATCTAGAGCGGATAGAGGGTGTACAATGACGTAGATCTATCTAGAGCTGATAGAGGATGTACAATGACGTAAATCTATCTAGAGCTGATAAAGGGTGTACAATGACGTAAATCTATCTGCAGCTGATACAATGACGTAAATCTATCTACAGCTGATACAATGACGTAAATTTATCTACAGCTAATAAAGGGTGTACAATGACATAAATCTATCTAGAGCTGATAGAGGGTGTACAATGACGTAAATCTATCTAGAGCTGATAGAGGGTGTACAATGACGTAAATCTATCTAGAGCTGATAGAGGGTGTACAATGACGTAAATCTATCTAGAGCTGATAGAGGGTGTACAATGACGTAGATCTATCTAGAACTGATAAAGGGTTTACAATGACATAAATCTATCTAGAGCTGATAGAGGGTGTACAATGACGTAAATCTATCTAGAGATGATAGAGGGTGTACATTGACGTAGATCTATCTAGAGCCGATAGACGGTGTACAATGACGTAAATCTACCTAGAGCTGAAAGAGGGTGTACAATGACGTAAATCTATCTGCAGCTGATACAATGACGTAAATCTATCTACAGCTTAAAGAGGGTAACAATGACGTAAATCTATTTAGAGCTGATAGAGGAAGTACAATGACGATATTTAACGATAACTGATTTAGAGAGTTACTGTGACGTAAATAATAGAGTGTACAATGACGTTAATCTGTTTACAGCTGAGAAAGGGTGAACAATGACGTAAAACTATCTACAGGGTATTGGTCCTGCTTTACAAAAAAGAAAGAAATTAATCACTATATACGTTGCAATATGATGATCCGAATATTAGTCTGTATGTTTTAGCAACTTACTTATTTGTCAACATTAAATGCGTGTCGTACACACATTGACGCGTGAGCTTGAATTAATACGGGATGAAAAAAGTCGGAATGGTTGACTATAGAAGTCAAATTGTGTTCTAAATAGGGCGGTTGTAGTGTTGTATTGAATTTAGTCAAGTATGCGAAACTTTGCATTTGGTAGTAATAATTTCAGTAAAACAGCAGGCAGTGTCCTATTGATAGAAAAAAAGTTTTAATTATGCAAATGTAAATGACTTTAAACCATGCAAAGGTTTTTTAGTTTATAGTTTCACACTATACGGTGTCTCGAGGTAGTACAGTAAGGTATCATGTGTGTGTCATTATATATCATCTTCCTATACATATCAATTAACGTTTTAACGAACATTATGTCAATTTAATAAAAAATACTAGGTATTACAATGCACAAAACAGGCAATTAACATGAAATGAAACATTTATAATGCTATGCGACAATATATAAAAGCTTATATCGAGAATATAGGTCATAAAACGACACAGTTTTAGAAGGCCTACTTTATATGAGACTGAGATACTTCATCCTTTTATAAGCTTCATTAAGTTTATGCAAACCTAAATTTCTAGCAACGACTGGTATATAGTTTGTTTTCTTTTATTTGTAATCTAGATATCTGAATGATACCGAAACGTATATTATACTTTGTTAATAGTTATAACATAGAACACGCGTCTTTAAAAGGCTTTCATTTCCCTCATTTAATAATTAAACTCAGATGCAAACAAATAAAAGGGGTTAACCTTGCGGTATTCCGTGAATATGTGACCGGGGTATTATCAACTGAACAGATAAAGGTCTGTCGCTGTCTTTATCAAGTGTGACCTTCAAAATAAACACAGATAACTGAAACCACTCCAAGTCTAAATGTATCCAGTAAAGTTGAGATAATAGTGTTTCTCATTTAGTATCATTAAGAAATAGTTATCATTTAGTTGGGATCATTACACGTTAAACATGGATCTTCGGACACTACCACTGACGAACGGGACCGGGTCAATTCCTACAGTAGGACTGGGCACGTTCACCGTGTTTGGTGAAAGGGTATGTACTCATGTATTTAGAGGACATTTCGGAATGTACTCATGTATTTAGCGAACATTTCGGAATGTACTCATGTATTTAGCGAACATTTCGGAATGTACTCATGTATTTAGCAGACATTTCGGAATGTACTCATGTATTTAGAGGACATTTTGAAATGTACTCATGTGTTTAGCGGGACATTCTTTAAACTGTAATTTGTGAAAAAGAATGTACTCGTGTGTTTAGTAGAAGATACCTGTTTTGTGAAATGCATGTTATCATATCTGTAGCGGAACATACTTGTTTTGTAAAACACTGTATATACTTCAGTAATAGCGAAATATTTCTTATACAGTGTTCAACTAATGTTTAGCAGAACATTTCTTATTAGTATAGGATTGTATCATTTTGGTGCTTATATATTTTTGACGGATGAGAGGGAATGTAAACTACATTGTTAATTAAAAAGGTGAAATGAAATTTAATAACATATTACATTTCATAAAACTTTAGGCGAACGCATATTTACTTTAGATAAAATCAATGCTATTTTTGATACATTTGTTAGGGAAAACCCGAAGAAGTTGAGGCAGCTACAAGTGCGGCCGTGGACGCCGGATACCGCCATTTTGATTGCGCTTGGAATTATGGGACACAGGAAGGAATTGGTCGCGCGTTAGAGAAGAAAATTAAAGAAGGTGCCATTGAACGAAAAGATATTTTCATCACAACTAAGGTATGCCTTGCTTTCCTGGACAGTAAAAGTAGCATTTATAATTTTAACCACACAGGGAGTCATTTGCTTTTAAGTTCTAATTCTTCTGTTGTTGTTTTTATATTTATATTCCTTTAATCCTGAATCCACAGCACTAGAGAACACTACTCCAGGTTTAGGCTGTGAAGTATTTTATTAAAAGTATCCATAAATTCAAAATTTGATAAGTAAATAGCCAACTCCTCATAGTGATTACCTCCCTTGGCAGATTGTACTCACAAAGGGCGATTACCGCGTAGAATATTGAGTTAATATATGTAAGAAGGTTTTAATGTTGTTTTTTCAGTTATGGGATACTCACCATAACCCAAAACTTGTGATGGAAGAACTGAAAGACTCACTGAGGACTTTACGAACTGACTATGTCGACATGTTCTTAGTTCATTGGCCAACAGCGCTTAAAGTAAGGCGACTTTTTGTATAACGACGTGATACGTTTTAATTACTAGCTTCCATGTCACTGTATTATTCATATTTTTTCTTAATTAAAACATTATGTCCTTTATTACTTCAAGTATATGAGAGCAAATTTGAAAAAAATCAGTAAAAGTTGGCATGCTTGTATGTCAACAACAGCGCCAATGACGTTCCATTGAATTAATTGGACCTTTGAACTGAGGCACTTCAAGCTGTTCATACTGCTCAATAGTCGGAAAAGAAAATTTAGTGTTTCATCACATTTTTGACATAACTCGGACTAAACTATGTTTCCTATTTAAATAGAAAGTATTGTGTTCGGCTACAAACTGTTCTGGGCCTCTGTAAAGGTCACTGGGGTTATATACAATGTATTTTTCAAATAAAAAGTGTGATAAGCGAAACCGAGGACTATATTTTGTCAGCATTTGTAAAGAAGACACATTATATCATGATTTTCATTGCAGGACCAGGATTTTAGCGCCGACGTCATTGCCCCTAAAGACGAGAATGGAAAGATCCAGTGGGCATGTTACCCGTTAGAAGATGTTTGGAAAGTAAGTGTGTTTCGAATGAATGAATAAATCTACCAAATAATGAACGTTGTTGGAAAGACTGAGTACGTTGTAAAATTAAAAGATATGTTCTAACATTTTCTTAATTGATAAAAGATAAAGGTTATTTCCAATTCTTTTTCAAATTGTACTCTCGATAAGGGGTTTTAATAAATTATAATCAGGTCTACTGTTTGGATGATTTGATTGGTTTGGTTTCTGAACATAGTTTTATATCTCAATTTATTTACAAACCTGTCGTAGTTGATATTATAACAAAATACCGATTTTCAGGAGATGGAAAAATGTCATAGTGCTGGAATGGCTCGAAATATTGGTATCTCGAACTTTAACAGAAAACAAACGGAAAGAATCTTCAAATGTTGTACGATCAAACCTTCAAACATGCAGGTTAGATTATAAAAAATTTAAAATTTCTCACATTTCAGTAGTTAAGTAACTGGATACCAACTAGACAGTGGGCTTGCGTTTCGACCAGGATAAAGTGATCGCGGAGAAATTATGTGAAACACCGCATGATTAAGACTTTTCTATCGTGCTTAATTTTATATAGGCTTCGCGTTTTCTCTTGCAACCATATCGTTCACTCGCATATTATGTATAGCACAGCTCAAAATTACTTTTTGGCACTATTCTTGATACGTAACTTTAAAAGTATAACTTATATTTGTTGTTTTAGATAGAAATATCGCCATATTTTGCAAACGAGCGAATCACGAAGTTTTGCCAGGACAAGGGATTGGTTGTAACAGCCTATGCACCATTGGGGGCTCCATCTAGACCATGGTAAGACTAATATAGATTGTGTGAAACATTTTATTATTTATTCGTACATTGTGCAGTGTATCATAAGAATGTAAGTAAGAACTGATAAAGTCTTAGAAGAGGACAAAGCACATTTATATAACGTGGTTATTTATATAGCAATGTTGTTGTCAAGCCTAAAAGCCAGGAAACAGAAAGTCATAGACAATATATTTACTACGAATTCCTAGAATCGAAAACCTACGTTGCTAGATGAAACTGCACTATTATCTATTATTTTGTTGCTGAATTTTTATACTAGCTATAAATCCCTTTTAATAGACTGCTGGGCAAACCCATTAAAATTCAGAATGTTTAGGGAAAATTCTAGCATTTTATTTAATCTGTTTTGTGCACTAGTGATAGACTGATCAAAACATAACAAAACAAAATCTTCAGTAACTTCTGACCTATTTGGATTATTTACAATTTAAACAAGAATAGAAAAATATTGCAAACAATAAGAGTCCATGCGAAAACGCCGACAGAAAGTCCCTATAGTTAGTAAAATACCTCCTTATACAAGAACAATGATTTTATTGCTCTCCAGATAACAGGTAAAGTGATGTAAGTTTGTTCTTTTTGTATTGGTGATTACTCTGTGATTACATCGCATATCATGTATTTATGTTGTAGGAGGGAGTCGAGCGAACCTAGTCCGTTTGAAGATCCTGTACTTCTTGAAATAGCCAAACAAAAAGGAAAATCGGTTGCACAGGTATAATTTGTACAGATTCTTACACCTGGTTATAAAAATAAGTTATAAATGATCACCATACTTGTCTATTTTAATAGGAAATGCCAATTACAAGATACCGAGTATGCGTCCATTTAAATGTGTGTTCTCTTTATAAAGAACTTTGCCTCCAGATTATTTTTTCTAAGATGGGTGTTTTTTTAGTATAATTTATCATTTATTTAAAGAGAGTGTCTAAATATAAAAGTAAATACGTGTAAAAGAAAGAATTGTATACGAATCCAATGAAAACATGTGTAACGTAACGTCAAAACGCCTCACATGCATTGGCAGTAACTGATAAGGGGAGATGACTGCGTAGGAGATTGGTAAGGGTCGCGTCAGAGTTACACTCCTTAGATATATAACAATTATTCATACATAAATTAAGGACTGTTTGCAACGTTTTTCTTTAAATTTCAGGTCATAATTAGATTTCACCTTCAAAACGGGATTGCCGTGGTTCCAAAGAGCATAACACCGTCTAGAATTCAAGAAAATATCAATGTTGGTTATCCTTGATGCTTACTTGCTATCTAACTTTTATTAGTTTAGACTAGTTTTAACTTATCACTCATTTGGAAATGAATCTTTACATGTATCATTTTGGAATAACGTATGTCTTCAATTATGTCAACGTTTCTTACTACGCGATTAAATTATATGTTTACACATTTATTGATTTTAAGAAAAGTAACATCGAAAAATTCAAAATTATGCGCTAGCCATAAAGGCAACTAAGCGCATGCATCGAATCATTTAATAATCTTTAATGAATTCTTGATCCATATTTTCAGGTTTTTGACTTTGAGTTGTCAGATGATGATATGAAGAAAATAAAGGCTTTAGATCGAAATCTAAGAGTTTACAAGGAACCTATGTAAGTTGATATTGGAAACTTATTCTTCGACAATTTAGCATTACGTACGATCATTACGTCATACAAATAGTGATACTTTTATGCGGACTATTGATATCCCAGCTTGTGTGTATTTTGATAATTAGAACTCTATACGTTGCGCAATTGCATCTTCTTTCCGTCCAACTTTGGATATAATTGAAAATGGCCGAGATGTTGTGATTGTATATTATCGAGTAGGTACAAACATTGTGTCAGGTTGCTTTTAGTACATTCGTATTGCATTCTTAATAATCATATTTTGATGTGCTTATTTGATAAATGTCTGCCTAACACCATTTTACTTTATTTTGTGAGAAGTTTTTGCCCAGGTGGAAAGTTTCTTAAGACCAAACAGAATGATATTTTTATTTCATACAACATTTAAGAAAATAACAAATTTAGGTTTACAAGAAATCCTGCAGTCAAATTATAATCTCTGCTTTATGACAGGGTTAAAAGGTCAGCCCGAGAGGTTAGAAGTCATGAATAACAAAACTTAATTGATGACGATAATTTACGACACAGATTAATATTTGTTAAATTAGAATTCAAAAAATATTCCATGTATTTATTACTTCTTGTATCGTAACATAAACTTTTTCATATTATCTTTCAGATGTATTGGACACCCTGAATATCCGTTTGATGAACCATTTTAAGGAGCATGTATAGATCACAAATCTGCGCGCATGAGAAAAAGTCTTAATACATAGACGCATGCATCTAATCATTTGTAAAATAAACGCATTTATTTTCATTTATTTTAGTTGTTTTCAGTATCATACAAAAGTTTTGATTTTTTTTTGCGTTAAAGAGCAAATGTTGAGAATCTGGATCTTCATAGAAACCCATGATAACTTTGGTCGATAAAAGACAAACTTGAAACATGTGTTTAATTGACACCATACATGTATCACGACTGTCCAGACATTGCTAGTGCATGAATACCCTAGATATCCTCTCCTATTCTAATAAACACAAGCAGGAACATGAAATGAACAATCTTCCGCAAACTACTTGTGATGACATACATTCCGAACATGGAACATTAGCATATTTTACGGAATAAGACAGCACAGCGAAGACGGGCATGTTGTTGAAAACATATCGGATATACATTTAGCATTAATAGCATTTTAATAGCATTTTACCCTTTGGAAATAGTTAATTTTTTAATAAGTAATGTCAGTGCTATACACCAATTCAATTTTTTTTCTTTTCAAGAAATTGGACTGTCACATATTTTTATATACATTAAAATCGTTCTTCCATTAACCTTTGAACCTAAACTAGTACGTTACTGAAGGAAACAAGACCAATAATTACATATAGAGTAGTAAATTTGGCTGTCTTACTCATCGATCTTCATCCAATCATTAACATCAGTTTTTAATATAAATATAAATTTACTGTACTACTAACTTGTCAAATTGTCAATATTTAACTAATTTCCGTGTAATCGGACAGTTTTATGTATAACCAAAGGGCAAATAGCAAATTAATTAATCTCATTTTAAAGTCGATACTCAATACACTAGTTAAAGAATGATAACTTACATTTACTTTGCTCATGTAATATATTCAAGCATGAATTTAACAAATGGTTGTGTTTATTAAGATCGACCAAAAAATAAACAACACTATATGTTATAATTAATCAAAAACGCTAATTTAAATTTGCCGTAGCTTTTGTCCTCGAGGCCTTCTTCAGCAGCATTTATTATTATTGTTATATCATTGTCATTATTATTATTATTATTATTATTTATACATGTATTTAATGCGTAGATTAATCAATAACCTTGTGCACGTGTACTCCACTTTGATACTCCTTGTATGTGGCGTTAGACAATAGTTATATTGGGTTTGTGAATAGCAGGTTCGAAATGTGAAAAGAGAAGCACAAAAATCATGGACACGATTTATAAAATCTGATAGTTCATGATCTCTTAAGAAATCGACCTGTTACAATTAATTTTATAAAACATACTAAAAAAAGTTCACATTTTATAAATACTGCCGTACATTTCATAAAATAGATAACATACAATTATTTTTGTTATAAAACAAAGATTTATTATAAAAAAAATACAATAAATATAGCAAAATAATCTCATGTACAAGTGGATTTCAAACATGTTGTCCGCATAACTTTACACGTCCGATGATGTTCGGCAAACTTTGACAAGCTTCGATCTCGAAAATCTTTCGGTCATTTCCATCTTTTTCCGACAATATTTGACTATCGTTTCCTAACGAACAACTCGTTGAACAAGCTAAAAGACAATATTCTGAAATAAAAATAATATTTTAATCAATTTCTAGACATCGTGCTTTATTATGAATTTTTTTATTCAATAAAACACTTGCAACTTATATAAAGTCACTTTCGAGTCCGTTTCCTGGAACCAACCAAAACTGTTGTCATATGAAGTAGCATGGTCGTAACCCGATTAGGGCTTGAACCCATGATTCACGGGTTGAGAGGCAGACACCTTAACCACTAGGCCAACGCTCCCTTCACTATTCACTATCAGTTTCAGTAAGACTTTTTTATATAACATGTATAGTGCAACGTATTTAGGAAAAGCAAAAATTGGGTACAAAAAATCAATTAGCAATAATGAGGTATCATTTATAGATTATTTATTGATGTTAATGGATGATTGTCGGCACATAATCCAAGATAACTTACCCGTTGGCGTTCATATTCATCGGCGGACCGGACATTGGGTTACACCCGAGTCGCCATGTTGGACATCCTTGGCACGTTCTACCTTGGTACTGATACATAGACTCCTGTCTACAGGTGGCGGGTATAAACATAGCTGGGCACCGTAGAGGAGGACATGTCACTGCCCTAACTGTGTTGATGATTTCATTGACAGGAATCACTCCTTTCAAATCTGTCAGTGATGGCGAATTATTTGGTTTCAAAACGTTTATAGTATTATCTGTAGGATTAAGTTCAGTTGTGGTTTCGACACTGTTACCTCTCTCCATACAACCAGCTTTCCATTTAGGACATTTGAAACATGTTTTGCCGTTGAATTCATACGGGGTCTCCTCTCTGCATTGCTTCGGAATCAATATTTTTGTACATGGTAGAAGCGGGCATTCTACTGCGGGGTTGTTTGGTTCTGATGGAATTGATACTGAACTTTGCGTTGATATAAGAGGTGGTTCAGCAGTTGGGTAATTAACGTCTGGTTTTGGCGGGAGTGGCACACATCCTTCTCGCCACAAAGGACACATGTAGCAGGTTCGACCTTGAAACTGGAAAGGACGTTCAATACGGCACTCTGGTGGAATAAGTATATAAGGACATCCGAACATAGGACAGGACATTTGCTTCATGTTTCCTGTTTGCATTGAAGATTGCGAATTGATAGTTATGCAGCTGGGCTTCTGCTTCGGACAATCGTAACAAGTTTTACCTTCATACTGATAAGGCTGGTCTTCCTTGCACTCGGTAGGAATATAAACCATCGGACATGCCTTTACAGGGCATCGTGTTTCAGTATTTCGTGCTGGGATCTGTGGAAAATTCATGTCCGGATCTACTGTCACAGGAATGCAGCCATCTTTTTGTCTTGGGCAGCCTTGACACATTTTATTCCCGTGTTTAAACAAAGGTGTTTCCAAGCATTCTGGAGGAATAGATAGCGATTGACATTTTAATAATGGACATGCTATTTCCGGAACGTCCATTCTGTCAACTAGTTGAGGAATTATTGGGACGTTTGGTCTTGGTGGAATGATTTGTAAACTGATACATCCTGGTATGATAGATGGACATCCCTCACACATGTTCCCATTTTTATTGTAAAACTCCCTCCTGTAACATTCCCGAGGTACATCAACACGCGTATTACATTCAATAACTGGACATGGTAATCCTGATCTTGTGTTACCTGGAAAATTTGATTCACACGAAGGGCTTCGAGCTGGACATCTAAAACATGTTCTTCCTCGGAAGTTATATGGCTGTTCTATCCGGCATTCGGCAGGTATATTATTATCAATGCACGGGAATTTCGGACATGGAATCGGAGAAAGATCAATCGAGTTACCACCCATTGAATTGATGAATTTCAATCTTTCCTGTTCACGACAGCCCTCTCTCCAGCCTGGACACGCTGTACACATTTGACCTCGATGTTCATATTCTTTTTTCACCTGACATTCATTAGGTATATAGCTGTCGCATATTATTAATGGACAAGAAACTTGAGGGCCTAAATTAATTTTCTGTTTTGAAGATTTATTTTCACAGCCTGGTCTCCAACGAGGACATCCTTTACATGTAAGTCCTTTATGTTGGAAAGTAGGTATGTCCCTACATTCGTCTGGTATAAATTCTAGAGTACAAGCTTGAACAGGACATTGAATATCTGATGCAGACGACATTTCATCAGGGACACATCCGGGCTTATATACTGGGCATTTTTCACAAATCAGTCCTTCGTATTCGAATGTTTCTACATAAGCACAATTCGCTGGAATAATATTTTCAGTACATGTTTTGGTAGGGCATTTTATTTCTGGATCTATGATAATATTTGTCCCATTTGGCAAATTTTTACACGAGTCCATCCATTGGGGGCAGCCAGTACACTTGACTCCATTTTTCACAAGAACAGGGGTATCCCTACAATGTTCTGGTATAAACTCAAGGGTACAGATCATTTCTGGACATGGCGATAATGTCGAGACGTCATTTCCTGTTCCGGTAAATGGAGGTCTTGGCGTCGTTGACGTCCGCGGCGGGTCGATTATTATTGGCTGTTCCGTTGTTGGAATATCTGGAGGCGGAGGTTGTGCAAGTACTGAAAAGTATCAAAACACCTTTTTATTCAATTGTTTTATTCTCAAATTATAAAGTTTAGTTACCCTCTTCAAACGATGATGTTTACCACTTTAAAGTCATTAAAGAAATTAAAATCTAATATACATGTACATTTGTATAAATATTTTTTTCATGTTTTTTATTTATTTATTTTTGTTTTCAAAATTCGGAAGTTTTCTCTATTCGAGCACTTACAAAAGAAAATGACAATTAAATTTCAATATTTTTTGATCGCAGGTTGTAGAAAACATTACCTGAATTACCACACACGCACGTTTATACATGATTTGAGAGGTACTATGGCGAAAACATTTTAAACAAGCTTTTTTAAAGAAAGAGAAATTATAAACAACTATGATTAGATAAATAAATCAAGATATCACTCACCGAAAGAAATAAGCATGATCCATTGAAATATAATCACAATTTTGTGTTTTTCTAAAGAAGATGTAAACCCCATTGCAAGTTGTATTTCACTTGAGTTAACTGTGTGTTTACTGAAATGATTTTTACTTGCTATGTCTACAGTGTCGCCGTTTTATATACTAAAGACATCGCGCGTGTTTACTAATTACCCAAACGTCACGTTCATTTACATAAATGCGTATTGGCCAAGCGTTTTGACGTTGTCCATCAATTTTGACAGGAACGGTCAGTTTTCACTACCGTAAGGTCAGTTTATGACCGGTTGTAAACAGAACGTTTAAATTTCGGTATTTCATTGGTCAGATAAATTTTAAGGAGAAATTTTGTTGTTGTTTTTACTGTTACTCCTTCGATGTTTAAATATTTCATAACGTCATGTTTGTTTGATTCAAATATAGAATTCATGTATTGTTGTTTGAAATATATAAATGAATAATGAAGGTGTGGTTAGACAATACAAGGTGTGTTAAAATACCAAACCACTTACTGACAGTAATGAAGTGATGTCCGTGACCATTTCAGTGGGACGGAATGGTTTAAAGAAAATATTAGCGCATCGTTCATACTTTGCTCTCATTTTGCATAAATCAAATCACTTACAAATCCATTTTACAGTTGCAAGAAATTGTCTTTATTTATTCTATTTTATTTATTCATTCATTCATTCCACGGGGGGGGAATCACGTGACTTTGTATAGTAATACCCACGAGAAAATGGCGACTGCTGAGCCCCGGTAAGTACATTATTATGTTAAATTAAGGTGACAAACGTTTCTTAAATCAAAACAAAACCTAGCGTATCATATGCGCGTTAATTTTCTCCAAATGACAATACAAAGTGCATTATCCTACGTTTTGTGGTTTTTGAGAACATTGTTTGAATTGTGTGAAAATTGCACATTCAGCGATAGTAATTTGCACGAAGCGATATAATTTGGTACCAAAATAAATGAAAATAAACATACTTTCTGCACTTAAGACACAAAATCAATCATTTTATTGACATCTGTTATCGTAGAAGTTCATATAAAATATATTTTCGAAGGTCTGTAGCCTACAAATGTTCTTTGCAAATGTATAGTAAGTAAAACGAACAATTTCTGGATAGTAAGTTACACGAAAACAAAATAGTAAGTTTCACGCACAGATTCCATTAGCATACATATACATTAAAAGAAAGTTAAAGTTCATATGTTAAGAGATAGAAAATACTTATTTCAATTATGCAAGATCAAATATTTCACATTTTTGTCTATAGGACGAATGCTTAATTGGTTGCTATTATAATATATCAAATGAACTTTTGATGGGATTTGATATTACACGACTCAGTGTTATTTTTCTGTGGCGATAGTAGTTCTTTGACCTCTGCAGTTTCAGGTGTGTCTTGGCCCTCATTTTACTGTAATGAACAAATATAATTGCTTGTTAATTGGTATGGTGATGTTTATTAGCTGAATGCTGATCGATGTTTTTATATGGCGGTATTTGTTACATTTAGTCACTATGTTACTTAATTTATGAAAATATATTGAAGAATTCGCAAGAACAAAATAACTTCTTACAAAAAACAAACAAAAAAAACAACAACAACAAACAACAATGATACAGTGATACAAGTTATGATTAAAGGCACATTGTTCCTCAGAAATCCATATTGTTTAAATTCTTGAGAAATGTCAAACATGTGTTTGATAATGTTTAAATAATGGATAAAACGTATGATAGTATTTTATTACAACTGAAAAAGGTAGCACTGAACATTATATTAAGTGATGTGTCGCTAAGGTAGCAAAATGTAAACAAAGTAGTATTTTGACTTCCATACGAAATACTTATTCACTAAAGGTATACCATTTTCCAACAGAACCAAAGATGTAAAAGATAATTTGAGTATCTAGCAAATGAGTATGTTTTCAGAAACTGTAACAAGATACCAAAAATAAACAGTTTTTTTTTTTAAATAAAAATGATAGCATTTAAGAGGCATAATGGACATTCAAAGAAAAACGAATATTTGAAATCAAACGGTCAAAGATATGAAGGCAAGTGGAGTAAAAAAAATATTTACATAAAACAATCTTAGATGCTGGGTTTCAAATCACACCGTCAATGTCGGGACACCTGAGTTAAAGCACCGACGTTTTGTTAGCTAGTTTGATGAAAGAATTCAAGGACTCTGGTCGGACTAGAATCCATAGCGGTGAGAAGCATGTGTATAAAAATCAGGGACTTTAAACACTCCGCCATGGACGCACTGAATATCTTATTTACTTACTCTATCACAAACAAAAAGTAAGAGTTTACGACGCAACACATTTGCACATGGTAAGAAAATAAACGTATAGTAATACATAACAGTTTAACAAAACTTCTTGGGTTTATTTATAAAATATGCCAGTGTAAGAATAAAATTAATAAAAACTTTGTATACCAGTTCTATGATGGCATTAAATATCGATGTGAAATGGCGAATGTCTTCTCCTTTGCGTTTTTGGTCCAAATTGCAGATACTGAAAAATAAATGATGGTGTTGTAATATTTCCTTCTGCACAGTTATTTCTTTATAAATCTAGTTCTAATGATAACGGATGTGGGTCCAGTCTAACGTGAAAAAGGGCCAAGTGTAACGTACATTGTTGAGTATGAATGTCAATGTCTCATTTAGTTATTTTAAGTTAAGTAATCTTTTATGAAATTATATGAATATGAATACATGTATTATGAAATAATATGAATTATTATTAAAATACTCTCTCGATATTTGTTTCTCTGTCACCGTAGACGGAACACACTTGCAAATTTGAAACCAAAAGAATTATAAAATAGTTTCGTCACATTTAAGTAAGCTATTGGAAACTGTGCGTGAAACTTACTATTTTGTTTTCGTGTAACTTACTATCCAGAAATTGTTCGTTTTACTTACTAAACATTTGCAAAGAGCCTTTGTAGGCTACAGACCTTCGAACAAAATTTTATATGGAATTCTACAAGAACAGATGTCAATAAAATGTTTGATTTGGTGTCTTAAGTGCAAAAAGAAAGCTTATTTTCATTTATTTTGGTACCAAATTATATTGCTTCGTGCAAATTACTATCGCTGAATGTGCAATTTTCACACAATTCAAACAATGTTCTCAAAAACCACAAAACGTAGGATAATGCACTTTGTATTGTCATTTGAAGAAAATTAACGCGCATATGATACGCTAGGTTTTGTTTTGATTTAAGAAACGTTTGTCACCTTAATTTAACATAATAAGGTACTTACCGGGGCTCAGCAGTCGCCATTTTCTCGTGGGTATTACTATACAAAGTCACGTGATTCCCCCCCGTGCATTCATTCATTCATCTATTTATTTATTGATTGATTGATTGATTGATTTATTTATTTATTTATTTATTTATTCATTCATTCATTCATTCATTCATTCATTCATTCATTCATTCATTTATTCATTTATTTATTTATTTATTTATTTATTTATTATTTATTATTATCTTCAATTAAACAAAATAGGTCGAAGGAACAATGTTGTAAAAGATCGTTCAATCTGCAAATAAATAGCAATGAGATTACACACATATGATGACTGCTTTTCCAGAAATAAGGAATATCTTTAACAAATCTTTAAAATCATCCTGATGAAACATGTTTATTGTTTATTTTCAAGAATTCAGTTAACAAATTACATAAGGAAAATGGTTGTTTCTACTCAAAATGTTTGGAATAATTATAGCAATATCTACCCATTTTGAACACGTATTTGACCATTTCCTGATAGAGAGCAAACCATCTAAATTTCCTCTCAATTTAGGTGTCTTAAATTTCTCAGAAGTAAATTTGTTGATCTTGTCAAATATTAAATATTTTCACCGTATAGTTTTGATTTTAATAGACTTTGAAAATATCCGGAACTTTGGTTTTAGATACATATGAGCCGCGCCATGACAAAACCAACGTAATGCGTTTGCGACCAGCATGAATCCAGACCAGCCTGCGCATCCGCGCAGTCTGATCAGGATCCATGCTGTTCCCCTACAAACCCTATTACAAGTAGAGAAACTGATAGCGAACAGCGTGGATCCTGATCAGACTGCGCGGATGCGCAGGCTGGTCTGGATCCATGCTGGTCGCAAACCCATTATGTTGGTTTTGTCGTGACGCGGCTCAATTATTATAATTATTAAATTAACATTTTTTTCCTTTCTAAAATGATCTGCACTAGGAGGGTTATACCTTAAATAACTAACTGTGGCGTTTTCAAAAGTCTGTTATCCCTTTTACTTTTGTTGCTATTGTTTCTGGTGCATAAAAAATACAAAGTACCTTAACCTAACGTGTTTGTCGATTGTTACATGTACAACTAGGACAACGGGAGACAATTTTCCATTTTTGCTTGCTAAAGGTAATTTGAATAGTCTCCCTTCTTAGAGAGCCTTGTCTTTAAATGAAAACTATTGCTTGCAAAAAAGTGATACTGTAATCGGCTTATTAAATGAATATCTGAAGTATATTGCTGATAAAAGACCATGACATGAATTAAATATTGAATTATAATTTCTGAAACTCAAACCATAAAAAATTTCTTTACTAATGATATTCCATATAAAATATTCCATTTATCTATATAAAATGTATCTTCAATGGAAAAATATCGTTAAAATAAATCCGAACTGTTTTCTATTTTTGTGCCTTTGAAAGATAAAATATCAGTCGCAACTTCAATTGTCGCCTTCGTAATTGTAATCGCAACTTAGTGGCCATTTTCGTCAATCTTCGGAAAATAATAGTTTGAATAACCGGGACGAATACGGTAATTTTTACGATGTACAATTCAAACGTAAAATGCTGAGATTTGTTGTTTCAGTTTATTTCATTATATCATACAAAGTATACTAGTTTTATAGGTACAGATGTAAAAAGTAGATTAATTTATTTTATTTTCAAACAACGAGTGTATGATTATTTTTATCACATAACTTAATCCATTTCAATTTTAGAAAGTATGCTTTTCGTACGCTGTAAATATATATATATAATATAAAAAGGTTATATAGTATCGGAAACGAGGGCTGTCATGTGATAAAACAAAAAATTTCATATGTCCAATAACTC